CAGAAGAGGTGGTCTACAGGAGAAAACCTGTCTGCCATGTTACCTGAGAATGATAACTGATTGCATTATTTGGACAGTCTGGCGATTCCTTTGTAATGGTAAATACTCAGTTCTTGAGTCCAGGTCACAGGCTCGCCCTATTCATATCTTAAATGTGGGATTTGTGAGAGACAGTGGGGAGAATTCCCAGTTCCTTCAACCTTGCAAAGAAATATTTGAGGTCATTTTGGGAGAGTGAAAATGGTTTCAGGACTTTTCTGTGGGTGTCAGACATGTGGTTTACATATTTGTATGTGTTTGCTTGATACATTTATGAACATCTATTTTATATATCTAAGACCTTAAAATTCTTGTAACAAAGGTATAGAAAATGATGGTGAAATGCTCTATTGTATCAGGTTAGAGTTGAGGGGGGCAGCCTGTGCTTTACTTTTAAACACTAAGCACTTTCATACTTGCTCTTTGTAAATGCCATGTCCATAAATAATATAGAATAACAATAAATACATACATACATGCATACATACATACATACCCAGAGGTGAAAGAGAGGCACTCATCATATGCTCTGACACACCCATCCCCAGAAGCAGAAGGAAGATATAAGAATGTAATCAGAACAAGTGCTGCAATTTGCTTTTTCCCTCTTCCCTCCCTGTCCCATTTTCCTTCTGCGTCCTGCTTCTTAGTCCCTCCCTGCAGGTTTACATTCTATAATGGATTGTATGTAAGCCACTTTGGGACCCCTTCTGGCTTTAGTGTGAGGAGAAACAAATGCTCTAAAAAATAATAAAAAATCAATAATAGGCAAACCTATCCAGATGTTTCAAAAGTTTGTATTTGTTCTACTGTGGTTTTAACTTTCCACATGTTTCAAATTATGGTTGTAAATTTTTAGATAACTTTATTGTTCTTTTCTTTTTTTTGCAAACCGCTTTGAGCTTTTTTTATTCATTTCTATCATAGAATCAGAGTTGGAAGGGATCACGAGCGTCATTCTAGTTCAAACCCCTCCAGGCAGGAATCTTTCACCCAACACAGGGCTGGAACCTACGACCCTAACATCAAGAGTCTCCTGCTCTACCAACTGAGCTATATTCCTTTCGGAAAACAATCAATCAATAAATAACTGCCACCATCATTTTGAGAGCTATTGGTCTGAGACTCCAGCTGCTCTGAGCGCTGATTTTAACAATGGGGCGGGGGGCGGAGGAGCCCTCTCCATATGCTCAGAGGCACCACCTGCCGTCCGGGAAGCTGGCAGGAGGAGAGCACATGGCTCTTGATGCAAAAGAGCTGCCACCAGAAGACTTAGGCTTGTTTCCAAGCACATTTAGGGAGGTGTGTGAAATCCCCCTAGCAAGATAGATAGATAGATATAGAGAATCCCTCATATTACGTATATGTATATGTCCCATCACCTCCTGGCAAATAGAAGGGGAAGAAATGGAGGCAGTGAGAGATTTTACTTTCTTGGGTTCCGTGATCACTGCAGATGGTGACACCAGTCATGAAATTAAAAGACGCCTGCTTCTTGGGAGGAAAGCAATGACAAACCTAGACAGCATCTTAAAAAGCAGAGACATCACCTTGCCGACAAAGGTCCGTATAGTTAAAGCCATGGTTTTCCCAGTAGTGATGTATGGAAGTGAGAGCTGGACCATAAAGAAGGCTGATCGCCGAAGAATTGATGCTTTTGAATTATGGTGCTGGAGGAGACTCTTGAGAGTCCCATGGACTGCAAGAAGATCAAACTTATCCATTCTTAAGGAAATCAGCCCTGAGTGCTCACTGGAAGGACAGATCGTGAAGCTGAGGCTCCAATACTTTGGCCACCTCATGAAAGAGAAGACTCCCTGGAAAAGACCCTGATGTTGGGAAAGATGGAGGGCACAAGGAGAAGGGGACGACAGAGGACGAGATGCTTGGACAGTGATCTCGAAGCTACCAGCATGAGTTTGACCAAACTGCGGGAGGCAGTGGAAGACAGAAGTGCTCTGGTCTATGGGGTCACGAAGAGTCGGACACGACTAAACGACTGAACAACATGTATATGTATATGTGTATATATGTATATGTATCTCTCTCTCGCTGTATATGTATATGTATACACACAGAGAGTATATATGTTTATCTCTTTAATGAAAAACGAAAAACATGAAACCCCTTCTTGCAACACGCGCTCGTTCCTGACTCTTCTCGCCTGCCGGGAATCGAGACCCCTCTGAGGGGCGGCAGGGAGAGAAGAGGCTTGGTCACGTGCTCACTACTCCAGAGCGATCACGTGGCGGGACCCTGGCGTTGCCTTGGCAGCGGCGAAGGCGGCGTTAGTGGGGCTGGGGCGGCGGTGCTGCTCCTCCTCCTGCTGCTGCTGCTGCCTGTGGGGTAAGTCGGCAGGAGGGCTGGACTTCGGGGAGACGCCTCGCGATGGGGAGCTGCTGATTTGCATATTTGCATATTGCTATTATTATTGATTGATTGCCATTATTATTATTTTATTTTATTTCCCTCCCCTCACCGCCCCCCCCAAGGTCCGAGGGCGGGTTACAATTAAAGCACAGCATTCCTAGGAAAGCACAATATTGAAAACGGCTTAAAACAAACCAAAAGTAATAATAATAATATAGGCGCATAAAGAGGTTTAATAATAATAATAATAATTGGCTCCACCATATTGCACGATTGTGGAATAGGATCCGTCATGGCGTGGGACGCGTGTCACTTCTCCCCGATTCACTAGTGATGTTTTTTAAAAGGGCTTTCAATACCTAAGATCTTGTTTGTTGACAGAAGAGTCAGGAGAGGAGAGTCAGGGCAGGGATTGGACTAGTGACAAACCTCACCAACCAAATCTTAACAGCATGTGTGTATTCTATGTGCAGCATATCCATACAGTGCAATGCAGTGTGAAATGATGCATAGTAAATAATGTGAATATAATGTTGTGTTATTAATACATAATTAAATGTCTAGAAACCCTACGGTTAAGGACAATAATTCCATATTGCCTGTTAGGGGCAGTTTTTAGGCAGGAGTTCCCCAGAATTATCTGGAGATGTCAGTTTTTGAACCCGATACCTTCTGTATGTGATGCAGGTGCTTGTATCACCAAGCCCCCACCCAGACACTGTGGGGACTTACCTCTGAGTAAATGCACATTTTGCACTACAAGGGTTGTATTCAACTAAGTCCTCCTCAGAGTAGACCTATAGAAAGTAATGGTCCTAACTTAGTCATGTCCATGATGACTTCAGTGAGTCTACTCTGAGGAAGAGCTAGCACTGAGTACCACCCTAAGATTGTAAACTCCTTGGGGGCAGAGACATGTTTGTTTCTTCCTATATAATTTTGTAAGTCTTCATTATGTTGATAGTGCTCTTCCCGAGGGCATCAGTATACATCATGAGTGTACAGCTCGCTCCAACCTTGACTTTTGGCAGGGGCTGATGGGAGTTGGAGTGCAACAGCATCTGGAGGGCTACAGGTTGCCTTATGGAATTTTGTAGACAAAAATATGCAGGTTGTTGCCTTGAAGGATCTTGTTATTTAAAACAATAGGGGAAGTATTTAAGAAGAAGAAGAAGAGTTTGGATTTGATATCCTGCCTTTCACTCCCCTTCAGGAGTCTCAAAGCGGCTCACATTCTCACTCTGTGAGGTGAGTGGGGCTGAGAGACTTCATAGAAGTGTGACTGGCCCAAGGTCACCCAGCAGCTGCATGTGGAGGAGCAGAGACGCGAACCCGGTTCCCCAGATTACGAGACTACTGCTCTTAACCACTACACCACAATAGGGGAAGTATTTAAGACAATAGGGGAAGTATTGAGAGATTTGAGGAGCCATATGAGGGCGGGTCATGATCAAAGCTCAGTTACAGATGGGGGTGGGTATTAAAGGGTCAAGCCAAAAGCCATGTGGGTAAAGGTGGTTTTCTGATGATGGATTTGAAAGGTGGGAAAAGCAGGCATTGGCACAGCTGCAGCACATGTTCAGGGACATAACGTTCATGTAAAAAAATATGCTGAGATTCAGGTTTTACTATGCGGGCTGTTTAGCTGTAATAATAAACATTCACTCATTCAGGGACAGAGTTTTAGCCAGCTGTAAGAGAGCAAAGGTGGTTCCATTTAATGCTTGACAAACAGAAGACCTTCATTTGGCCTAGTAGGTGTTCATGTGTGTCAAATGAGAGAGGGAGGAGAGCTCAAAGTGTAAACACAGCATAGTCCACATATGAAATGCTTTTAATTCCTATGGATTTCCATGGAAGAGTATTCAGTGCATCCTTAACTCTCTCACTTCATCAATGAAAAGGTACCACCCTAGATTCCAGGCATGGTGCCATCCACCTTCACCCCACTGAAGGAGAGACAGGGGAAAGATGCCTGCTGGACATCAACTTTCCCCTTTTCCTTTTTGTACAGTGGAGCGGCTTCCACGGCTATGTGCATTTTGCTTACTCAGTTTAAGAACATAGGCTGCTGGATCAGGCCAGTGGCTTATGTAGTCCAGCTTCGTGCTGTCACAGTGGTCAACCAGACGCTTCTGAGAAACCCACCAACAGGATTCGATCACAAGAGCACTCCTCCCCTTCTTGTGGTTTCCAGCAACGGGTAGTCAGAAGCATTAAAGTTATAAGGTAAAGGGACCCCTCACCATTAGGTCCAGTCGTGGCCGACTCTGGGGTTGAGGCGCTCATCTCACTTTATTGGCCGAGGGATCCGGCGGACAGCTTCTGGGTCATGTGGCCAGCATGACTAAGCCGCTTCTGGCGAACCAGAGCAGCGCACGGAAACGCCGTTTGCCTTCCCGCCGGAGCGGTACCTATTTATCTACTTGCACTTTGAGGTGCTTTTGAACTGCTAGGTTGGCAGGGTCAGGGACCGAGCAACGGGAGCTCACCCCGTCGCGGGGATTCGAACTGCCGACCTTCTGATCGGCAAGTCCTAGGCTCTGTGGTTTAACCCACAGCACCACCCACGTCCCATTCAGAAGCATTACTGCCTCCCAATTTGTGTGTTTATGGCAGGAAACAAAATGTGCTGCATTTCAGACATTACGATGAACCTGCATTTTTCTACGTGAGTAATAGATCATGGCCTCATTCCAATGACTCATCATGCACCCTCTGTCACCAGCTAAACAGTGCTAGAGCTAACCGTCCTCTTAGCACTGGCTCTGCATCCATCGATCTGCTTGGAACAAAAGATTTCACTCTCGATTGTGCCACAGGGCAGCCTCTGAATGCATAAGAACAAGGCTGGGGGCAGGGAGATCTGCGGGAGACATGGAAGACGGGGCATGTATATCTGATTCAGCCAAATATGATATGGTTTGCTGCCCTGCAAGGCTATTGAGTCGGGAGGAAGAAATGAACACACTTCTAGGGGTGGAGTGAGGAAGAACAGAGGAATCTGGAAGAATGATCTTTCAGGGAACAGTTGCTCTTAGACAGATAGGAAGCTGGCCTCCTATTGGCAGCACAAATAGGAAGAAAAAAATAGATTATTTGAAAACTCTGGAGTAGTGGCGGTTAGGGGAAGGGGGGAAGGGAGAGAACAGAGATTCACTGATGTCCTGCAAATGTCCGTGGGGTGATGAAGAAGGGGTCCCAAGAGAGGGGTACTAAGAAAGGACCTCTGATTTGATGAGAAAAGAGATGGAGTGAAATTTATGGGAAGCATGCAAAGACAAATTCAAGTTTTGCATGGAAATATTACAGATTGTACCTCCTTCATTTCGTGGGCTTTTCCTCCCCCATTTTTCCCTCTATAGCTGGGGGGGGGGGAGAGAGAGACTATGCATTGAAAAACTAATTCAAGGAAAAAGAAGATTGAGTCTGGTGCATACAAGGATATTTTTTTTCCCTCCCTCTCCCCTTGCTTACATTGTTCACTGCTCTTGGGGGAAAGAAAAGGGATGTAAGGCTTTCCCCCTGCTGCCTTTGAAGCAGAGATGACAAACAAGATCAAACCCAGCATCAGCCAGCACTCCTGAAGCACTTCCCCTCTTCGGAGTGCTTTGCTGACATGACTTGTGGCGAGACCAAATGCTCTCTCCAAGGCAACGCCCACCGAAGCCCGTGGAATTACAGCGGGGGCCCAGACTTAGCAGAGGCTGCATTCTCAACATCAGGGTAGGTTTTTTATTCCAAGTCAATGAATAATTTGTGATAATCTGATGTTCTTCCAGCCTCCGGCTTTGTAAAGTATATAGTCTGTGAGTTGGTATTGCCGCTTCATTTTGCAGGGGTTGGTGGAGTAAGTTGAGATTGCGAGAGGAGGCGATGTCTTAAAGGTTCTTGTATTGAATGTAAATTAGGATCCAATAACCCAATAGCGGTTAAAATGTTAGGCTAGCACCTGGGAAACCAAGGTTCGAATCTACCCTCGGCCATGAAGCTCCCTGGGTGACATCAGGCCAGTTACTAACTCTCACCTACATGCCGACTTAACAGGAGTATTGTGATCATAAGATGAGTTCAGAGCATTGAGCTTATTGGAGAAAATGTAGGCTATAAATGTAATAAAATTAAATCCATGAGGGAGAAGGCATGAAGATGCCCTTTTGGTAGTCATGATGTGTGATGATCAGGCAAACATATTTTTAATGCATATTTGCATTATGTAAGCCTACCTGGGAATGCCACAGTCTGTAATCACTCTATTGGAGTGTGTGTGAATGTGCGTGTGTGTGTAAATGACAACATTGGCTCCAGCCACTGCCACACCTTCTGCTAGTCATGCCCACTGAGGTAGGGCACCCACTCCTTGAGGCTAAAACGATTGGCAGTCCCTGCTGTAGCAGCTTCCCCACACTATTTCAGTTTATAGCCTTTCAAAAGCGTAGGAGTGGGCTGTGCATTAGAACACAATAAAACGCAACAAAACTCATAGAAATTTCTCTGCTCTTTTCTAACTTGGCTGTGATCCTCCTGAAAGCTCATCCTTGATTGTGATCCTTTACTGCAAATGTGATCCTAGATCTTGGTCTTTGTGATCCTCAAAGGGAGGTTTAGTAACACTTCTAGGTGGTGATCACGCTTGGACTTCAGTGAGTCTCCAGGGGGAAGGAAACCTGGAGAAAGCTACTGATCATATTTCTCTTCTTCCCTTTGCAAACCTGATATACCAGTAGGACCTTTCAGAGGTCACCTTTTGCAGAGCTTGGAGATGAGAACGGGGGTATTGGAGAAGACAGTCTGTAAGGCAGAGTTGGGGAACCTGCAGCCCTCTGGATGGTGCTGGAACTCCTCCTCCTTGACCATTGGCCATATTGGTTGAGGAGTGTGCTATTGCGCTCCTGCCCTGCTTCTGGGCTTCCCATAGGCATCTGGTTGGCCACTGTGAGTACAGGATGCTGGACTGGTCAGAGCTTTGATCCGATCCAGCATGACTCGTCTTATGATGCCTTTGGAAGTCCAAGACATCTTACAGACCCAGGTTCACAATCTCTTTTTTAAGGTATGTTGGATTGAAGCCATTAGGGCATAATAGGTTGTCAGCAGTTCATTGAATTATTCCCAGAAGAGAACAGTGAGCTTTTGTTAGGTGCGGTCATTGAAAAGAGCAGGGTAGAATTTATAGCTAAGTTCTGTCTCCACTTTCGGAGGCGGTATGCCTCTAAACATCAGTTGCTAAGATTTACAAGTGGGGAGAGGGCCAGCGGCGTAGCTAGTCACTCGGGTACCCGGGGGCGGGATGAATCGCCCATGGGGGCAGGGCAAGCTACCCACTGGGCAGAGCAAGCCAGGGCAGGGCTGTAGGGCAGCTGTGGGGGAGGCAGTGGGCAGAAGCAAGCCCCACGCTGCCATTTCGGGCAGCATGGAGCCTGCAGGCACCAGGACCGCTGCATCACTCCCAGGAGAGACACATGGCTTGGGTGCACTACACGCCCCATGGTAAGTGCTGCCCCCCGTGATGTGGCACCCAGTGCCCCCCCGTCCCCCCAGCTATGCCTCTGGAGAGGTCTGTTGCACTCAGGTCCTACTTGTTGGTTTTCCAGAAACTTCTGGTTGGCCTCTGTGAGAACAGGATGCTGAACTGGATGTTCTTATCTATAAAACATTCCTTTTTTATTGATATCACTCAAGTCCTATCTTCCAAATAAAGGTAGCTGTTGTGGTGCAGGGATTGGATTGTGCCGAGCAGCATCTAAGAGGCCAAAGATGTGGCAAATATTGATGGTACCCAGCATACCTACAGGGCAACTTCCAGCCCCTCACGCACTACCTTGACTTCTCTGAGCTCATCCAGGTGACCTGTTTATTGAGCATTCGTTCTGATTTGCTTGCACAAAGCTTGATCTGTTTTAATTACACCAAGCCTAAATTTACCAGTGCTCTCTTGAATCTCTCCCCTACATGAACCTGGGACCCTGCCCTAGTTATCCCCCTCAAATATAGACACAACGCTTCCTCTTTTTGAAATTCCCTCCGTGGGGACACTTGGCCAGCATCAGCGTTGTTTTCTTCATTTAGGCACCAAGCAAACACCTTCCTTGTCCCCCCCCCCCCAAAAAAAGGTCGTTGGTATTTCTAATAGTGTACTCCAAACTGTCCTTGGGAATGCTTTAAATTTTTTAAATCTTTCATGTTAAATATGTTTTCCTTTGGTGAGCCTCTTGAGAGCTTCCAAGCTGAAAAGTGGAAGATCAGTTCTATAAATGAAATTAGTGTGCTTCAGGGAAAATGAATGCACCAATACTTCATAAAAGTAACAGAGTACAGGATTCTTCCTATACAGTATTGTGGGTATCTTCGTGTTGCATCTCTGGGGCAAATACATAATTTGGGGGGTAAGGAAGCTGGGAATATTATTTGATCATGCCCGTGGGACTACTATAGAACTCCCAACCTTGCAGCCCTCACATCTGATTTTCTGTTTGAACGGTGTTTTATAAGTGAGTGAGGTCCATCTCACTGTAGTCTTTATTACCTTGAGCTTAAATTCTTTTCTGAGTTCTCTCTCTCTCTCTCTCTCTCTCTCTCTCTCTCTCGTCTCTTTCACACATACACACACAGTTCTTTTTCTAAAATTGTGGCTCATGAATGAAAGCTTTCTCCATTTCCACCATATAAGTAGATGGAAAAGGGGAGGAGGCTTTGAATACTTGGAGCAAATACTAATGTTTTGAGGTGCGAGCATTGAATTTTAAAGAACCAATCCTTGCACAAGGCGCAGGGGGAGGGGGGGGGAGAGAGACTAAATGCCTTTGCTCCAACATATCGCTTAGCAACTTGGGATTTTTAAACTCTGGGGTAGAATGGCAGGGAAGAGGGATTCTAGAGAACCTGCTCAGAGAAACTGGGGGTTGAGCAAACGCTCTTCCTCTCTCTTGCCGAACCTTCCACCCCCACATTCTGCTCTCATTATGCAAACAGCGCTGCTCCACAGACAGCTACGTTTGCATATCTCCTGGCAGTAGTTTTTTGCAGAATGAGAGTGTTTGGACAGGGATGAGTGGTTGAGGAACAATAAAAGGAAAAGGAGGTGTATGGGTGAGAGGGAGCAAGAGGGAGCTGCCTAAAAGGTAAGAAACCTCACCCCTTTCCTCTTTGTTCCTCCTGCCAGGACCAGCAAGGCAACAGCGAGCTGTGGGCTCCAGGTTGACTAGCAAGCGTGGCTTGTTAGGAAACAGCGGACCGTGATCCTTGGTTCAAATGTAACGGGAAGCTTCTTGATTTGTTTATTCCGCTCAGACTGAGGAGAAGGGAAATGGGAGCAACCGGGCAGAGTGTAGCACTGCTTAGTCTCAAAAAAAAACACTGGCTTAACATCTGGCTTAACATGACATGCGAAGGTGGCCTACGTGTTCCCCTTCACCGGCTTTCTCTCTTGCTTAGGATAGAATGTAAACTTACTCACTTGAACTTTTAAATCCCTTCATGATCTTGCTCTTTTTTATCTGCCTTTGTAGTTATTCAATGCACCATTGGCCGAGCTGTTTCTTATCTCCTGTCCTGTCTTCCTTAAAATATTCTGCAGACTTCTTTGTCTCACAAGTTATTGAAAACTCATCTTTTCCTTCTTGTGTTTTACCTATCCATGCACTGTTTCGCTTTTTAAATTTCTTTCCTGTTCCTGGGCTGACGGTTGAATATTTTGCATCCTTTCTCTCTCCCCCCCCCTTTTCCTACACTCTCCAACTTGTGGGGAGTTTCTCATTTTGCTCCAGCTCCCCTCTCCTCTAATCTCATGTGCTTTTAGATTGCAAGCCAGGACTCGTTTTGCTTTGACTTCCGCACAGCGCCTGGCGTGTATCTGGTGTTTGCAATGCTGATTTTCCCTCAACTTTCCCACAGCTTGCCTTTCATGATGAGTTCCGAGTTAAATGTCCCCGTGGATCCTCCCGCTTCCACTTGTTGCACTGAGCCGGCTGCTAAGGGCATGGACTACCGAGACTGGGTGCGTCGCAGTTACCTCGAGCTGGTCACATCCAACCACCATTCCGTCCAGGCCCTTTCATGGCGGAAATTGTACCTGAGCCGAGCCAAGTTGAAAGCTTCCAGCCGGACTTCTGCGTTACTCTCTGGATTTGCTATGGTATGTTTTCATAGCAGCTTGTCTGCAAAAATCTGCTCTGATCTTTGAACCATTTGGTCTGTCGCTTGCAGTTAATAGCTAATGCAAATGCCCTAATGCTGACCCAGGATCAGAAGCAGCCTGAGGCGGAAACAAAACCTACAGCATACAAAAAAACCCCATGCATCTGCGATCACACCATGTGAATAGCTGAGCATGAGACTCTTAATTCCAGGGCCTTGGGTTCAAGCCCCACGTTGGGTAGAAGATTCCTGCATTGCAGTGGGTTGGACTGGTTGACTATCATGGTCCCTTGCGACTCTATAGTTCTATGATTCTAAGTGGTAATTTGTTGGAAGAGTGCGGTCCTCCCCTCAGGAACAGTCCAGGGCATTTCGATGCTTGAAACAGAGCAACAGATGGTACCCCAGTCAAGGTGCATAGTGCCTAAGCACAGCTGTCAACTTTTCCCATTTTTTAAGAGAAATTCCCTTAGTCCGAATAGGATTCCTCGCAAGAAAAGGGAAAAGTTGACAGCTATGTGCCTAAGGCTAGTCAAGTTTTTAAACACCTGTGCTAGAAAATCCCACCAACGCCTCTCCCATTTCCTGTCCGGGCAGTAAAAATAAAAATGCAGTACAACAATGGTAAATAGCTAATCATTTGCTGCCCTTTAGTATCACCCCAAATCAGCCACCCTGAGTCTTGCTCTACCTAATGGTAGGGCTAGCTCTGATTCCTGGTGCTCTTGCATACATCTCCCCTGAATGTAGAAATATAAGCAGCTTGTCAGTTTCATTTCTGTGTCTGAAAAAATTGGCTCCATGTGCCTTTTGGATGGCTTCAGCTCACATTATGAACACCAAGTGAGAGGGCTCTGAAAGGGGTTTAGACCTTAGTTGCCTTTGGCTGACTGGCATCCAACACCCTTCTAAAATGTACGGGGTTTTTTTGTTTTCATTATGTATTTTATGTATTTTTTAATTTTATGATCTTATGTTGTGAAGCGCCCTGAGATCTATGGGTAGAGGGCAGTATACAAATTTAATAAGGTGGGGCGGTTCTGTCGAAACGGCTCTGATCGGCCCCTTCCATCTGGCACGAATAGATAACTGAGCAGGGCATGGCCTCTTTCCCCTGCCACAGTCCTGAAGGGAAGGGAAGAGAAAATGAAACGTAAGCAGTGTAGGAGGCTTCTGTCCAGCTGCAGTAGCATGGAACAGACATCACTTTGCATATCATGTTATCTAAGAATATTAAGCCTTTTGTGATCCTGCCCCCGTGGGCATTTTGAGGGGGAGGCCCCAAGTGCTGTCTCACGGTGCAGGTAGGACCAAAAGACATGGATGGCAAGAGAGATGCTGCGGTGAACTGCAACCCCAGTGCCATGTTTGTCTCCCTGCCTGAGAATGTGCAAAGCTAGACCTGCAGCAAGCGCAAGCCTTGCTGGTAGAGAAGGTAGATCAACTTGAGGCCTGCCGATCTGCACTGGGCAAGATGAGGATGCCTTGGAGACGTCTGTGCAGTGGAAACCCCAGGGTGTTGCTTGAGATGTGCTGTTGTAAAAGCTCAGTGGTGGAGTCCACAATTTGCATGCGAATGTCCTAGCTTCAACCCCTGACATCTCTAGGCAGAGTTGGGAAAGACCTGGAGAGCTGCTGCCAGTCAGTGCAGGCACTATTGAGGTAGATAGATCAGGAGTCTGACTCCGTATAAGGCACTTTCCTATGTTCTTTGGAGCTGGGGTGTGTGTGTATTTTTATGCAAAAAGGCACTGTAGCACAGACTACTGCTAATTTGTATATTGAATTAACCTACTTAGAAAATGTTTTCCCAGAGAGACCTGACCCAGATGGTTTCTCGGTCTGGCACGATTGTGGAGTAGTTTTTAGGACACACCCACACCCACCCACTTCAGGGAGCCTTTCTGTATGTCTACTGAGGCACCCCTGTGCCAACTCAGCAACCTGCAACATGCAGGAATGTTCTAGAGCGCGTGCTGAATTCACACAAGGCGTTAGCCTGGACCTTGGGCTTCCTTGTAACATTGTGTGAACTGAAAGTGCACTCTAGCGCAGAGGTGCACCGAGTTTGGCTGGTCTTGGTAACCTGTCAAAATCTGTGCTTGCTAGCAACCTTGCCCCCTTAAACTGAAAAAAAGGAAGAAAAAAAGCATTGACTCGCTTTTGGGCAGTGGGGGGAAAACGAGGGGGAATTGAATCGAGTATTCTGTGCAAAGAGTCATTTCACTTATGGAATAAAGGCGTCATTCCATAAATTACCACACATTGCAGGTGGTCAGTAGCCATGTCATTTCAGCATTGCGTACATAATAAATTTGCACCAGATTGAAGATAAAGTCTTGGATTTTGTTATGCCTGTACTTTCCCCCCTCCCGCGCGCGCATGTGTGAAGTTAGCTTATCCATCAAAAGTAGATCCCGAAGTTGTGACAGCCAAGCTTCCAAAAGGTCTATATTTAAAGTCTTCCAGAATTTCATAATTATAAGGCTTGCTGCAGTCATTAAACGAGTTATACACTTTTTATTATTATTTGAAAGATCCCGAACAGCTTCTGCATGGAATGAAAAGAGGGTGATCTTGGAATCTAGAGGTGTGTTTTGCTTAGTGATTAAAGCAGCTTCATAAAACACTTTTCCCAAAAAGGAAATGCCCTCAAGGGTGTAGCTACCACATATGGGGAAAAAACCACCTGTCAACTTTTATAATGATCAAGTCCCACTTATAACAAATAATAATAAATAAATAAATACTCTTCTTCTGGACATAGGCATTCTAAATAGTAACTGTTTATAGATTTATTCCCTATTAATTTGTCCCCTTTTAAAAACCACCTGAGCCATCCCCAGGTCCCATGACAGTGAATTCTGTGTTAGTTCATGCATTGTGTGAATGATAATTGCTTGTGTGGATTGTTCTTGTGGGTTAGCAGTTGTCACAGACTGGTTGGATGCAAAGGAATAGTGGGAGGAACCAGTTGGGGAACCCCCCTAAAGGAAGAAAGCTCAGGGATTGGTGGTGGGATGACACCTTCAGAGGAAGAAGACTGGGAAGAGGAGGTGTCGGAAGCTGAAGGGGTAACAGGGCCTAGTGAGCTGGGAGAGTCCATGGCAGAGAGATGTTCAGAATCAGAGGCAGAAGTTGAAACAGGAGAGGAGGGAGGCCAAGAGGCAGAGATGAGATAGGCTGGTGATGAATCACAGGTTTCTCCCTCTCCTGCTGTGACAAGCTGCCCTCCCCACTTGTATCCCAGAACCAGAAGAGGCATGAAAAGGGCGGAGGAGAGGTTGGCTGCACACAGGCACAGTCTCCAGTTGCTTGGAAAAAAGTGCTGTGGGATGAGCTGCCATGCTCATCAGGCCTAACCCTCTGCCCAGTCTGTGCTAATTGTGTTCTTGCTATTAAAGAGCAACTTGACTGGTGTGATGTACTGCCGACTCTCTCCTGGGTTTTGTAGAGGCAAGCAAACACTCACGGATGTTGCTTTTCAGGTGGCGATGGTGGAGGTCCAGCTGGAGATGCAGTACCAGTACCCCCCGATGTTGCTGATTGCCTTCAGTGCCTGCACTACCATCCTTGTGGCTGTCCACCTCTTTGCCCTGCTCATCAGCACTTGCATCCTCCCCAACGTGGAAGCCGTGAGCAACATCCACAACCTGAACTCCATCAGTGAGTCCCCCCACGAGCGCATGCACCCCTACATTGAGCTGGCCTGGGGCTTTTCCACTGTCCTGGGCATCCTCCTCTTCCTCGCCGAGGTCGTCCTCCTGTGCTGGATCAAGTTCCTGCCCGTGGACTCGGTGCTGAGAAACGGCACCGCCATCGTCCAGAAGACCAGCCAGCACACAGGGTGGCAGGCAGCCCTCATCTCCACCATCATCATGGTCCCGGTGGGGATCATCTTTGTCGTCTTCACCATCCATTTCTACCGCTCCCTCGTCCGCCACAAAACCGAGCGCCACAACCGGGAGATTGAAGAGCTCCACAAACTGAAAGTGCAGCTGGATGGGCACGACCGGGGGCTGCAGGTTGTGTGATGGCCAGCGGGTGCCTTTCTGTTTGCAGCTCTGAGGATTTTCATAACAGGAATTAACCCCCAGGTGCCTAACGTTCTCAGATGCCAAAATGTTCCCCGGTGGACGCAGGTCTGGGCGGCCAGCTCTTTGAATTTGTGGGTGATGTTACTGTGTCGTTAAAACTGAACCCTTTACCTACATCTATGCAGTTGTTTGAAGACGGGCTTGTCCTTTAGAGTTCCACATTTTTAGGTGGGTGGGAAGGGAGACAGATTAAGCAATTTTTAAAAATATGCATCAGTTTTAGCAAAGTGGGGTTGTGTTTTTCTGCAGGGGCTTCTATGCAGAGTGAGGAAAGGGGTGTGATGCTCTCACCGGCAATTGATTTACAAACTTCGCTTCTGGAGAGGAGTTTGTAAATCACAGTATGTGAACATCTGTGGAATCTGTCCACAGTGACTTTTTTTACACTGGGGGGGGGCGGGGCGGGGACTATTTCTGGAATTGTGAAAAGACCAGAAACTGGGGTGGGTGGTGGATGCTTTCAGAGATGAGGAGTTTTTCCTCTGTCCAGTTCAAGTAGCTTCTATAGGGTGGAGAGAGTTCCCATTGAGAAAGCGGCTAGCGAGGTCTCCATTGCCTCTGTGGAAGGGCTGGAGATTATCTGTCTTTCAACACAAAAACCAGGTCGCAAAGAACAGAAGGGCTTTAAAGAGCACCATGTAGTATTTTACACAAGTAGAAATGCAGGTGTGAATGCGTAACCAAAGTTTGTTGTTGTGTGTCTATAAAAGGCTGTAGCCTGAAAATCTCTCTCCTAGCACAACCCCTAATGCGCTTTAGAATGGGCACAGTGTCCACTTGTGCATTGCACAAGTTTTGTACATTGCACAAGTTTTGAAAACTGACACAGAGCAGAGCTGGTCGGCCGGTACCCCTAAGCCCAAACAGCCGTCATCAGCTGCTGCTCAAGCAGTTTTTCGTGTTTGTGTGTGGCCCAAAGCTATATCTGTGACGTAGAAACAGGAAGAAGAATCACACCATGGGGGTGGGACATAGGGAGGGATGGGGCCTCTTCTTCCTGGAAGCATTCTGTTCCCTGAAGAGCTGGCTGCTTTGACACTTAAACAGCATTTATACAGGATGCCACCCACCACCTCCCCCAGCCACCAATGTTCAGAATGTGTTTGTCTAACTGAAATCAAAAATTGAGGGGCCATCCAAGCTTCTTTCTCGTGCAACAACATGATCAACAAATGATTTGTGATGAAGTAGCCCTGTTGAGCTGGGGTCAACTTTTAAGCAAACCCACATAGCATCTGCCAGCTGCTTGAGCCGTTGTGTCCTGTTTCACGGAGGCTTACAGCACCCCCGGCGTTTCTGTATTGCAACAACAGGATAACTGTATGGTACGTGAGAAGTTTGCGGTCATTGGGAACTGCACCTTGAAAACAGAAAAAAGTGCTCTTTTGTATGCGTAACAGTCTTGTTCTGAAAGAAAATACAGCCTGTTTGCTGTACAAACACTGTTGCCAAAATGTTTAAATTAATCTGTATATTGGTAGTATGTCCTTAACGGCTATACCTCATTCCTCCTTTTTCATGCTTGGCTGCCTGCGGGACACACTAATCATATTATAACTAATAAGTATATTGTATTTACATCTCCTCACTCTTCCCCCACCACGTGTAAATTGTGAAATCTGCCTAAACTGCCAGTTATTAAATACTTCTAAGCAATCTTTGAGATGCTTTAAAAAAAACCTGTTACCTCTTTGAAGTCCTTTAGAGTCAGGGAAAGGCTTGTGCGATTGTGGGGTACCCGAACTCATTTCTGCACTTGGCCCAAATCACAAGCCTGATATGGATTCGATCTGCGAGTTCTTCCGAAAGCCCCAGTGATGCAAGTGCGTGGGACTCCCTTGGAAGCACAACAGCATGCAAAGTTTGGAGTCGCAAGCTTCCTTGGGAACAAGGCCTCCAGGAGCTGGAGGGCTGCAGGTAGTACATATTGACTCTCTTAATTTTCATTGTAAACCACCCTGGGATAAATATTACAAAGATGGTGTATAAATGCTGTCAATAAATCTGTAGCACAGTGGGGGGAAATACCGTATTTTTTGCTCTATAAGACACACTTTTCCCCTCCTAAAAAGTAAGGGGAATTGTGTGTGCGTCCTATGGAGCGAATGCAGGCTGCGCAGCTATCTCAGAAAACAGAACAGCAAGAGGAATCGTTGCTTTTGCTGCACAGCACTCCCTCCTGCTGTTCTGGCTTCTGGGATTCAGAATATTTTTTTTCTTGTTTTCCTCCTCCAAAAACTAGGTGCGTCTTATGGTCTGGTGCGTTTTATAGAGCGAAAAATACGGTAATAGAATCATGGAGTTGGAAGGGACTTGAAATGTCATGAAGCCCAACCCTTTCCGTATGCAGGAAATCTGCTCAAGCATCCCTGCTAAGTGGCCCTCCGGTCACTTTAAATCAGACGGGAGGGCCACTTAGCAGGGATGCCAAGTCCATCAATTTCCAAGGTTATTCTTCCCCACTTTCAAACGCTCATACTCCTGGGAAGTTCTTCCTTAATGTTTAGTCGGAATCCTTTTCCTTGCAACAGTTAAATTATGCTGTCAATTCATGGTCTCAGAGCTTGCGTACAAATCCCTAGCATCTAGTTTTCTAGACAATCTCTCCCTGTATTGTCCCGCCTAGGCTTTTAAGATCCACCAGCAAAGGAAGTCCTCATTATTCCAGCACTGGGTGAAGCCTGCGGTGTTTGGATCTGAGTTAGGACCTTCTCAGCGTTGCAGAATTCCCTTTCTATGGTATGGCTGGTGCTGGCATCGCTTTGCTTTCAGCACAAGCTAAAGACTTTCCTTTTCTACCAGGCCTTCAACAACACATCCACCTGATACAGTGGTACCTCGGGTTACATATGCTTCAGGTTACATACGCTTCAGGTTACAGACTCCGCTAACCCAAAAATAGTACCTCGGGTTAAGAACTTTGCTTCAGGATGAGAACAGAAATCGTGCTCCGGCGGTGCTGTGGCAGCAGGAGGCCCCATTAACTAAAGTGGTGCTTCAAGTTAAGAACAGTTTCAGGTTAAGAACGGACCTCTGGAACGAATTAAGTACTTAACCCAAGGTACCACAGTACGATGAAGTTGCATGTTTAATACAGAGGAGCATATCAAGGGAGTTGATGAAATTATTTTTGCCATTGCTTGTTAATATCATATTGCACATTTCTTTTACTGCGCGATAGTGTATGTACTTTTTTTATGTAGCCCACCCTAGGATCACCTGGTGATAAAGGGCAAAATAATAATTAAGAAGTGGGTTTGCACCCTACTCTTTGGAGCAGAGGAAGGGTAGAAAATTTGATTCCATTCACATATACAATGGTGCCCCGCAAGACGAATGCCTCGCAAGACGAAAAACCCGCTAGACGAAAGGGTTTTCCGTTTTTGAGCTGCTTCGAAGACGATTTTCCCTATGGGCTTACTTCGCAAGACGAAAATGTCTTGCGAGTCTTGCGATTTTTTTTCGCTCCCCCCCTTTTTTCTAAGCCGCTAAGCCGCTAATAGCCTTTTAGCCGCTAAGCCTTTAATAGCCGCTAAGCCGCTAATAGGGTTGCTTCGCAAGACGAAAAAACCGCTAGACGAAGAGACTCGTGGAACGGATTATTTTCGTCTTGCGAGGCAGCACTGTATAGGCGAACCTAATACATACTTTTGGAAACAATACATGAACTGAAACACCCTTTGAAATTTGCAGTTGTCAGAAATTTGCAGTGCAGTTCTCTGGCCAAGGAATATGTACAAAGGTGCATAAACTAGAGGGAATTGTGCTTAAAAATACATGTATTAGTGAAAATGACATAGGAACATCTCTACCCCTTGCTGTCTTCCTCGCCCTCCTTTGGACACGATCCAGTCACTATCTTTCAAGGACTGGACTTCAGAAAACAGGCACCCCACCCCAAGACATGTGTGGACATGCTCCCAACCTGGTTTTCATATTTGAGTTCCTAGCAAAAGGGCTAAAACTCAGTGGCAGAACTCATGCTTTCCATGAAGACCCACTGCTGGTTTCAGCAGAATGTGCCGGATGAGGCGAAACGATGGCTTGACTTTGTTCAAGGCTTTTGTTTGCGAGCAGCTGCTACTCAACAGTACTGAGAGCCAGCGTGGTGTAGTGGTTAAGAGCGGTAGACTCGTAATCTGGGGAACCGGGTTCACATCTCCGCTCCTCCACATGCAGCTGCTGGGTGACCTTGGGCCAGTCACACTTCTTTGAAGTCTCTCAGCCCCACTCACCTCACAGAGTGTTTGTTGTCGGGGAGGAAGGGAAAGGAGAATGTTAGCCGCTTTGAGACTCCTGAAGGGGAGTGAAAGGCGGGATATCAAATCCAAACTCTTCTTCATCTTCTACTGGAGAAAATGGCTGCACAGATGGGAGTGGCCCTGGCAGGTTAATGGAGAAACCGGAAAAAAACTAGTAACTACCAAGGGGTGGACAGTTAGGAAGAATAATATTTTTCGTACTTTGCAATAGGCGTCAGTTCACAATAAAAATGGGTGTGTGAAGGAGAGTACAATGAGCTGGATGACCTAGAAGCAAGAGCAAAATTATTTTGCTGCTAATTAGTGGAAGCAGTGAACCATCCGAAGTGTGCAAAATCCAGAACAGTCTTTCTTGAAAGGCCATATTCTTGCCCATAATGAAACCGGTTGGCCTTTGGAGGAATAAATCATTCTGCCGAGTCTTGTGAGCAGCTGCAGGCTAATGACTTTCAGAAGAGTCCCTTAAGTCTAGAAATGGGCATTGTTAGGGAGTGACCCAGGCCCCAAAGTTTTTTTGTGGCAGGACTTGGATCTGCTGCCCTTTTCCCTCTTCTTTTTAGCATTTATTTTTAAACGTGTTCAAAGTCATAAAGCATTGTAAGTCATGCACTCACACAGCTACATTGCTACAAGAAAATGCGGGGAACAGAAGGGGGGATGGGATGGGGAGAAGTGGGAGTGGAAGAGCAAGTACAATCCCACCCTCAACTTTTTATATTGCTCAGAGGTGGTGCCAGAACTTTTTGCATTGCTAGGTAGTGGGAACTCTCCCATTTCCTTCTTTACCCAAATTTTGTAAGGGCAAAATGCCAGCAACATCTCTGCAAGTTTCCCTGTTGTCTTTTATGCGCATTTCCTTTCTGTATTATCTCATAAAGGCCATTGCTGCCAGCCTTGGTGGGCATCACCATCTGCATTGATGTCCATCCCTTAACCCCGCTTCTCAGGTAACCAGGCCTCTCTCATCCTTGTAATCAGCTAATGAGGTCCTTCTCATCTCTATCCAGTTTCCAAGGTCTCACACCCACCACTTCTCTGTCTTAATTAAAAGTGGTATGGAACCACAGCTGCTCTGCAGACCAAGCTAAACCTTTTTGTACTGTTGTCATAAATTGTGGCTCATCAAGGATGTTCGGTTGTTTGCTGATTTTCACCTTTTATTAGTGGATTCTGGTAACATGATAGAACAATTCTCCTTCCCCTTGAAAAAACTGTACAGACCACTGTTCAAGGCACTGAATTTCTGAAGCACGTCAAATTCACTTTCTACCCTTGATCTTTTGCAAAATGAATTGCTGAGAGTCACAGCTTACGTTCTGTCAAACTCTTAAGTACTATTAAGGCTATTACAACTGCAGTAGCAAAGGCACCAAAATCCGTTCTTAAATTATTAATTGTAGATTTAAAAGCCATTTTTGCAAGTTCACAAATCTCTGTTTACGTATCTAGGAATTGCAAAGCACGGTTGCCATTTTATGTCCTTCCGTCAGGCTTGCGTCCTAATTTCTTGTTCCCAACCCTAGATTTCAGAGGAATACCTAATTGCAGTTTGGGGAAAGAAAGGATTCTCCCTTTGTAAAGTGATCTTTAAGAAAAGACAGAGTGGCCACGTGTCCTATTTTTAAGAGGACAGTTCTCTGTGAGAAGGGCTGCCTGGTCCATCAAAAGGGAGACCAACAGAGGTCCTGATGTTTCCCCATAAACAGTCAGCACCTGGCTAGTGTAGGCACACACGAGCATGTTCAAATGTCACCAATATATTTGCCCTCTCTTTTAGCAATTCATTGTTTCTTTCTTAATAATGTATTTGATGGCAACCCCAGTGGGAGCTGGGCAGGAGGATGCTTAAACCGTGGAACTCCCAACCCCAGAGATTCCCCACATATGCACACCCCCAGTTGGTGCCACTTGATCAAAATATTTCAAAATATATTCAAGCAGGCCTCTACCTATCTGGCGCTGATATTTTTAGCCACATTAGGCGTCTGAATTATAGGACTTGAACCATCACCTCGCGTTCATGGGCAGTTACCAAGGTCCCAGCACTCTAGCAGGGCCCACTACTGATGCTGTTCTGCCCCCACCCCTCGAAAACCCAGCCTGGTGCCCCGAACACCGTCAGGCAATTGGATCTGAGCTGCTGGCATAATTTTCCACAGGACCCTGAATTATGCTGGGATACTGGACTAGACGGACTCTTCTTGTTTCCTTAATAGTTAACTGAATCAGTAAGGGAACTGTTAGTTGTACCACCTGTATCCTTCGCAATGCAGGTGATCCTGCAGGTGGGGGACTTTCCATAGCCTCAGCCTCTCTTCACCAGCAGATACTTTTAAATACTGTTCTTTCAATGCCTATTTTATTTATTCATTCCGCAGCAGCCTCTCTCATAGCTGCCAGC